TCCCACAAAAGAGGGCAGTCCAAGATACTTCCCAAAGTTGGGAGCTTGAGTTACTTCTAAAATCTGCGCCACAGTATCCCTGTCCCCATAACTCGTATTCTTACTGTAGCATATACTTGATTTATGATAATTGACTTTCTGCCCCGACGAGGCCTCATATAGGGATAAACAATTTTTAATTGCAGTGGCTTCCTGCACATTTGCTTTGAAGAACAGTAAACTGTCATCAGCAAAAAATAAATGAGAGATAGGGGGAGCACCCCTGGCTACTCTGCACCCATGTATTAGACCATTCATATGTGCTTGCTGCAACAATAACGAAAGCCCTTCTGCACAAATAATAAACAAGTAAGGGGATAAAGGGTCCCCTTGCCTTAGTCCTCGGGTGGGTGTGACCGGAGAACTGCGAGAGCCATTAATCAGGAAACTGTATGATACTATAGTTACACACAGCATAATTAACTCCACCCACCTGTCATCAAAACCCAGAGCCAGCAACATTTTATGGAGAAAGGATCATTCCATACGGTCATAAGCTTTGGCCATATCAAGTTTGAGGGCACCCCATCCAACAATCCCACATTGTTTTCTATTCAAATAATGTCCAACTTCAGCTGCTATAAGGATATTATCTGTGATCAATCTGTCAGGTATAAAAGCACTCTGGGACTCAGATATAATACTCTGCATCAATGGCTTCATTCTATGGGTAATCATCTTGGCCATTATCCTGTAAATTACATTACTCAAGGCTATAGGTCTAAGATCAGAGACCACTTCAGGGGTATTTTTCTTGGGTATGAGCACCACATTCGTATCATTTAATCCAGCAGGGAAGGAGCGGGTATTTAGACATTTAACTATAAACTCTGAGATATCCTCCCCAACTATATCCCAGAAATGTTGATAGAATCCAGTATTCATACCATCAGGGCCAGGCGCTTTATCAGGGAACATTGCAAAAAGAGCATCCTTGACTTCATTCATCTCAAAGGGTCGAAGCAAGGAATTATTCTGGGTTTGGGTAACCCACGGCATTACATTATCAAATAAAGCATTACCACTCGCAGGATTACTAGACTTGAAAATTCCATCGAAATAAACTAGAATAATATCCTTCATATCCTCCCCTTCCATCCACTCCCCGTTATCATTCATAAGTTTAAAAAGTGTATTCTTTTTCTTACGGTGAGAGGCATACCTGTGGTAGAACTTTGTATTGGCATCCGCACCTTTAAGCCAGTGCTGCTTAGCTCGTTGTCTCCAATAGGTATCCTCCTGGGTCTCCATGTGACTTAGAACCTCCTCCAAAAGCTGGAATTCAGCTAGGGAGGCTGGATCCGTACGCCCTCTGAGATGTAATTGGTCCTTTCGCAGCTGTAGAATTTTCTCACCAAACTTATGATAACGATCACCACCCCATCGGATCAAATTATTTCCACAATGTGATATGCATTCTTGAATCCCTTCCGACCTTTTCTCTTCCCATGACTTTTCTACCACCTCCCTACAGCCGTCATCATGTAACCATGCCATCTCGAAACGAAATCTCCTACTTCTCTCATTCCATCGACATAGATTTCGAGTCTCTAGAAAGAGTACAGAATGATCATATTTTCTTGTCAGCAGATTACTGACTCTTGCTTCAGGCACAATACCACACCACTCATCTGATGCTAGAACCTTGTCTAACCTCTCTTCAATCCAATCTGGTGTTCCTTTGCTCTTTTCCCATGTAAACTGATATCCACTCATAGGCAGTTGAGATAAACCACATTGCTCGATAGTTTCCCTAAATTCGCGAAGGAGACTATTAGGATGCGGATTACCCCCTCTCTTCTCTTACTGAAAAAGGAGATCATTAAAATCACCCACCATGACCCAAGAGAGAGTAGACTGTGGCGCAAGTGATTTCAATAAATCCCATGACTCTGCACGCCGATTACGCTCTGGGTAGCCATAATAACACGTCATTCGCCACTTCGAAAAACCAGACATAGTTACTTCAATATCAATATAATTCTTAGCATAACTAATAAGCCTTGCTGTATTATTCTTTCGCCACAACAAAGCTAGACCACCTTTCAGACGAACACTATCAACATAAAAAAGACCATCAAAACCAAGATCAACCCGAATACGTTCAGCATGTATTCGACCTACCTTAGTTTCCATGAGAAATACAAAATCGGGCTTCTTACGCGACACAAGGTCCTTCACTTCACGAACTGTCCGTGGATTTCCCAAGCCACGACAGTTCCAGCTGAGGGTACTCATGATGACGGGCGGGCCTAGGAACCAGTACCCGCCAAGGACAAGTTTTTTGAGACAACTTCTGTCATTGAAACATCCTCCCCATCTTCACCCATACGCACAACCTCCTCCCATTCTCTCCGTCTCTTTGCCGAAGCCAACACAAGCGGCTCGGGCCCCTGCCGGCCAGAATCCGAGTCCGCCGAGTGGGCGGTAGTCGGTCTCCCCGGCAGTACAGTAGCCACGGTCGCCACCACTTGCACTGGCTTACCATCCTTATCCAACAACCACGGTGCCCCCACCTTCCGTGGTCCCCTCCGTTGCCCGGCCCGTAGCTCATCAGAATAGGGATATTTATCTATCGGAATGGCCGCTTCCCGAGCCTTCAAACAATATCTATGCAGGTGTCCCAACATACCACAGAAAAAGCAGAAGTTATGTAGCCTCTCATACTTAAAGCTTACCCAACATGTCGTTTTATCCCGTTTCAAGAGCTTCATACGGCGTTTGAGCGGTTTCAAGACCGGTATTGAAACCCTTATACGATAGAAGGTTTTCCATGGTGCATTCGCAAATCAGTCATCAATTTTGACAAAGGTCCCTAAGAAATTGCCAACCTGCTCCAATATCGTATCTGAAGTATACCCCAAGGGGGAGCTCATGGACTTGAACCCACATATCAACAGTATCAAGTGGTACCGTGACCGGTATCACCCCATCCCGAACTTGCTTACAAATCAGTGTGTGATTCTCAAACGACCACGGGCCACCATCCAGGACATGCTGCATGTCCGTCTCATGGTAGAAAACAAACAAGAATAGGCCAGGTTGCAATTCAGTTACCTGGACACCCTTTACCGGTTGCCAAACCGAAGCCATGACCTGACTCATATACTCTTCCTTGATAATCTTCGTTGTCAAGAACCTACCCACCAACCGCCATGACTCTCAGACGGCCACCGCTTCGGACTCGTCGGCCGGCTCCACCGGTGCAAAGACATCATCCTCCTCTTCTAGGGCAATATCTGCCCAACGCTGCGCCATCACGTTAACATCACCCTCGGTTGCTGCTGCTGCTTCCATCGTCGTCGAGATGGCCGGCCCTCGTCGTCGAGAAGAGAACAAGAAGAATACCTTCGTGCGTCGAAGGAAGGAGGCGAAAGCCTAGCTGACTTCTAGGGAGAGAATTTTTTAATTACTTGCTCGTTCTCAGCTATTAGTCTGGAATTCACACATAATGCCTATACTTTTAGTTAAGACACCATAGATTCAATTTTTTTTGAATGCTACTAGCTCTATTAGAATGTAGTATCTGTTCATATACTTTCTCAATCTACTGAAACACAAAGAGCCAATAACACCTTTACTGAGACTCGAACTCACAACCTTCCAAATGGAAGTCCAACCCAGATACCTTCCATAGATTCAATTGTTGTCCAGATTCAATTGATTATCTCAAATTAATGTATTTAAAATATCAAAAATAAAATGCACCAAAGTATTTGTTGATACAAAACCTGCAGAGTACAGTCTTTGGTAAAGTTTTGAGTAAAGAATATGATTCAAAGCAACCAACAAGCTAAGTATAAATAAATATATTGTGTACTAACTTTCTTTTCCCTTAGCTTAATGCATAATACACTAAGCTACAAACTGGAATCTCTTCTTTTCCCTTTCTCAATTATTTCTTTATACACTGCCTTGTCATTTTATGTTTTCTTGCCACTAAACCAAACAACCAACAAATTTTTTTATACATTCAATATGTATCTGATTAATTAATTGGCGTAGTCTATATTGATAATATATAGTTTATATCTTGATTTATTATATGTAAATTACAAAATGATGGGACCATCCATCTAAAAACATCATAATGGTTTAATTGAAAGCTGGAGATGAATTATTACATATGCTTTATTGTAGCTTATATTAATTGTTTTTTTTTTATAAATATAATTGTAAATTGTTAATTAAATATAATTAAAAAGGATGATGTGTTGTTTTAGGATTTGTTTGGAAGGCAAATTATATCGTGCACCGCGATGCATAATCGATTATACACCGCGCATCAAAATGACGTCGTTTTATTTAATGAAAAGATACGGAATCCGTTTCATGTCGTTCCGAAACGTTCCGCAAAAAATAACTCTGTTCTTCAGTTTCATTTTGTATACACTGCAGTTTCAGTTTAACACAATTGCAGTTTCATTTCGATATAACTACAGTTTCATTTAATATTTATACACTCAAATAGTCCAATATGTGAAAATGTTATTTAATTTTATTTTATATATACTATAGTTTCATTAAAACACAACTACATGATCATTTCGATATAATTACAGCTTTATTGTACAATATGTCAGTATACACTCAAATATGCGAAATGTTATTCAGTTTCAATTTATATATACTGCAGTTTCATTTCACAACAACTACAGTATCATTTTGATATAACTGCAGTTTCATTTGATAATATAAAAATAATATGTGAGGCAATGTCGGTTTAGATACACTGTAGTGTCACTCCGTTAACACTAACAGCGCACCGTTTCTTTACTTAAAGAAACGGCGCCGTTTTGATGTGCAGTGCATAATCGATTACGCACCGCGGTCCACGATATAACGATTGTGTTTGGAAGTGAACAATGTTACTCTATAATAGCCTTGTGGATTTTCAATAATGGGCTTCGTTTACAATGCAGGATAAGAATAATTGCTTACGCCAATGTATTAAAATAAAATTAGAAATGAAGATTAAGCAAAAATATAATTTAACTTCCACTTAATTCTTGTGATAATTCCTCTACCAATACACCAAACATGACAACCTCAATCTCCATTGCAATTTCCTCGGCTTGCTGGTGGCGACAATAATTCTTCCACTCTTCAAACTCCATTCTGCAGAAATCTACTCTGTTATATACTTTTCCAAACACCACTTTGCGATTATTCAAGTCATCATTGATCTCTGTATTCTCCTCTGATCTCTGGCATGAAACTTGCACTTTCATGTATAGATTAATCTCTCCATCTCTGCAACATATCACCCTCTCCTTCACATCTTCTTCGAACATTAGTTTCTCGAGTTCAATGGGATCGAACTCAGCCAGTTGCTCGAATCTATGGAGCTTGTATAAGAGCTCTTGTTGTGCTTCTGTAAAGGTCAAAATGAAACACAGAGTTAGATCGAAATAATTGTAGAAGAAGATTATATACATGGTACGGTGAAACTAACGAAACAGCTTGAAAGATTGTTAAGAATTACTATTAGAGATTTTTATGAGATAAAATTTAGTTTGTTAAATAAAACAAATTCATGTTACCATACTTTGTAACGTGGAATAGTTACATTCAGGATTGCGATCGTCTTTGTCTGCCTCGTCTGCTTTGAAATTATCATCTTCAAACGAGTGGTCCAATACAGAAACTGGACTACATTGTTCCTTGTTATCTTTTTCTTTTTGTTTAGCCGCCTTTTCCAGGTCTTCATCTTCACAATTTTCTTTTTCCTGTTTGGGGACAAATTGATCATAACTTTTATTTATTTATAATTATAAAGTTACAAGTTCTATCATAATAGAAACAATCTTCTTAGTTTGAGATGGTCAACTACCACAATAATATTAATATAAGGGAAAATGACACTTGTTACCCCTGAGTTATATACTTATAGTATTTTTTCCCCCTCAATTATTTAGGTAAGCACATTAGCCCCCTCAATTATTCTAAAAGTGATGCTTTTTCCCCCCTGATATATTAAATTGACATTTATACCCTTAAAGTAAACATTTTATTTATTTTACTACTCCAACAAATTATTGCGTATACGTAGGGATGACCACGGTTCGGTTTGAATTGAACCGGATACTAAAGCAATCGAATTAATAGTTTACGGTTATAATTCAGATCTAGAACCCAATATTTAAATGTCAATTTATTAAAATTATGTATCAAAAAAATTGAATCTTGAACCGTGATCCGGCGGTTCCGGATCTGATTCGCGATTTTGAACCGTCTTAATTTTAAAATTGTATTTTTTATTTTAAAATAGTCTAAATTCAACAATAAATGAATTTTATTTTTTCAGTTCGGAACATGAACCGTCCGTTTCGGTTCACGATTTTAACAAACTCTAAATATCGAATTTCAATTCTAAATTGTAATTGGAATATTTCGGTTTGATTGCTATAGTGTTTGTTTAGTTTGAACCAAATTATGGTCATAATTTGTTGGAGAAAAAAAATAAATTAAATATTTAGTTTAAGGGTAAATATGTCCAATTAACATTTCAGGAGGAAAAAAGCCACTTCAATCATTTAAGGGGAAAAAATGCTATAGGTATATAACTCAGGGGGAAAAAGTGTCATTTTCCCTAAATATAATTGAATATCTATAATTGCATACCTCTAATCAAATCAAATCTTTATTCTACCATTAGAACAGTAAGCCACATCAATGCTCAAATTACCTTTCATTTAAATGATTTTTCAAAATATAACCCGCATGACCTTTGCTTACTGATTCAGTAAGCAGTATTTGGAATAAGAGATTAATGTTTGAAACTCAACATGACAGTGTAGAGATCATATTCATTCATAGTAACATAACATGACAGTGTAGAATTAAGTCTAAAATGGACAGATCATTTGTGTTCACCTAATATAAAAGCCTTTAGGATTGGGGATTCAACTTTAATTTAGAGAAAAGATTTTTCAAAATATAATTAAAATGGTGGGTGATACAACCACTCTATTAAAATTAAAAGCACTCTTGAATGGAATTTTAATTGGGGAATCGATTACAAAATTATATGAAAGTTGACTGCTGACCTTAAATCTTTTGGTCGAAATGATAAAATAAATCTTGATTTTGTACTTTTTTTGCGTATATAGTTTAATCGACAAGGCCTAATTAAAAAATGATTCTAGTGGCAGAAGCGTGTACATTAATCAATGGAAAATACTATGTGTACTCCTATTTTTTATATCAACTTTTATTTCTACACACAAAATTTTGATGCAGATATTTGTATTAGGACTCATATGAAAAAAGTAATTTATTAGTGTGCGTCATATCAGGGAGTAAAATTTGAGAATTCATGTAATAGAACTCTTAATCAATAAACGGATTTGACGCTATTTTTCCAAAATGAAATGACATCTGTGCCCTTTCCAATTTCTCTGAAATCATCTTGTTTATAATCAGAAGAACAAGAAACAGTTGGTATGGTTTTATTTGGAGCAGAAGGAATTGATTTTTTTTTTTGTTTAAATAAGATTTCGAGCTTTAAAATGAAGTTAAAATATCTCTATTGTTAATTTGTTATTCATGTGAAATTCGAGTCCTATTGTAATGGTTGGGGTATTATATTTCAGTTTCATCGACATGTTAAAAAAAAAAAAAAGACAATTAAAAAAAGTCATATATATATATATATATAGAGAGAGAGAGAGAGGCGGGTTCAGGTGCGGCAGTGTCTTACGGTGCGGCAACACCAATAGTTCACCAAATATGCACCATCAACGTTAGGAAATATACCACACAAAACAGAGTAAACAGAGCCCTGCATCACCAAACACACACCATTAGGTGTGAGTAAAAACACCATACACTGTTCCGAAATACACCATTGGGGGTGGTGAGTTATATGGTGTGTTTTTTTTAGTCTGTGGTGTATTTTGTGATGTTTTATTACATTGGGGTGTGTTTTTATTACACTGTTGGTGCATATTGTTAACACTGTTGGTGTATTCTGGAATTTGACCGCACCGCCGCACCGTAAGACCCCGCCGCATATGAGCGCTCTTCTATATATATATATATATATATATATATATATATATATATATATATATATATATATATATATATATATATATATATATATATATATATATATATATGTATTTATTTTATTTTATTTTTTTTTGCCCTGAGAGGATGGTAGAGCGTGTGTCTTCTAGTAGTTGAATAGTTATTATACACCAATGTAAATTTTAACCCTTATATATTTTGGAATAGTGATCACATATTTTTCTAGTTACTTAAAAATATATTGTTCTATCATAATTCATAATTTAAAATTAAAAATATATTACGTTAAAAAAAATAGATATGACACACCAAAAGAATTTTCCAAATAAAACTTATAATTCTATCATAATTCATAATTTTGTTCCCAGAGAACTTATGATCGTACTAATAGTACATGCGTATAAAAGTTACTAGTTTTTCTACGCGCTTTGCGCAAATGGGATAATGCCCAATGATTCTTTTTAAATAAGTATTTCAAAGTATATCAATGCAATATTATATAGAAGATGTTCATGCATAGGTAAATAAATATTGAATTTGTTTATTTAAATCAATAATTTAAAGTATATAAATGCAAGATAATATATGAGAGATTGATTATATATAACTGTCACAAAAATAAATGGAATAAGGTTTAAATTGGCCATTAAACGTAACCTGAAAATACAATTAGATCACTGAACGAAAAAAAAAAAAGTGCAATTAGGCCACTGAACACTCCAAATATATGCAATTTCACCTGATAGCAGGTTATCATCAATTTTTGCAGGTTACCTGCTTACGTGGCAACTGAGTGGCATTTTAAATAATTTTTAATAAACTTTAATAATAAATTTTTAAAAATTAAAACAAATTAAAACAAATAAACAAAAAAAAAATTATTTCAATGCCAACTCTATTTTATTTTTATTTTTTAAAAAAAAAATTCAATTTTTTTAAAAAAATTATTATTAAAAATTATTTAAAATGCCAACTCAGTTGTCATGTAAGCAGGTAACCTGTTAAAAATTGATGGTAACATGCTATCCTGTGAAATTGCATACATTTGGAGTGTTCAGTGGCTTAATTGCACGTTTTTTGAGTGTTCAGTGGCCTACTTGCATTTTTTATGTTACGTTCAATGGCCAATTTAAACCTTATTCCAAAATAAATGTTTGCAACTTTGTAATAACGCTGGTCTAAAAATAATAGTCTAAATAAATACAACTTTTGGTTAAATTTCTCTCATTCTCGTTTGGGTAGCATTGTCATTGTCTTCATCTTCCGTATATGGTTTTTTTTTTTTTTTTTTTTTTCAATAAGGTTATTGTTGGTAGCATATAGAGTGATTCATCATGTAATGAGATTATGTTGTAGGAAACTTTATATTTGCCTTGTTGTGTATATGATTGTGATTTTTGTTGTGCTATGAACTCTTTATCTTACAAACACATATTGATATTTGATAGTGGTAGTTTAATTCCCACATGTTTCATGTGTTGTGAGATGTGTGTCATAGGTTATCATGTGAAAGTATTGAACAAAATATTAATATTTATTATATTTGTATGAAATACTTGATAAATAAATAAATAAATAAATATATATATATATATATATATATATATGTATATATATATATATATATATATATATATATATATATATATATATATATATATATATATATATAACATATTTTGTATTATAACTTGATATTTAATTACAAGATAGTGTAAAAAGAAGAGAATAGATAATATAGTGAATATAATAAATTAATAAATTTTTAAGGTAAAGAATCTTTGAATTGTATAAAATAAAGATAATATAACTAATGAAATTATATCTCTTTTTTAATTTTTTATAACGAATAATTCATTTTAAATAAAAGCATTATAGACATCTAATTCTAAATTAATTAAATGCATATGCATTATTTTTTGTTGTAGCTACTAATTTATTTTTTAATTTAATAAGAGCAATAAAGTGGCCTACATAATTTTCATTCACAATAATGAAATCATTGATTTTTTTATTTCCACTTGTTGTTGACGCAAATTGTTATGAGAGTTTGTCAATGACAGATACTATCAATAGAGGATGATGATAATAAATAATTCAAAATATAAAGTTACAATATATATTGTCATAATAATATAGTAAAAATTAACTTATAAATTTTAATTTTTTAGAAGTTTTCATGCATTGATAAAAGCATAATTAAAATATTAAGTTTTGTTCTCAATAATCAAAATAAGATTAATTAAACGGGAAAAAATACCTTAACTTAAATTTATTTTTTTAAAATGAAAGAAAATCAAATGATTTTCAAAGTTCCTTGTTTATAATCATTGAATGCTATGTATTTAGATGAGCTAATTATTTGACCAAAATTTATATTAAATTTTATATTATATTTTTAATACTTTGTAACATATTTGTAGTATATGTTTAACAATTATGCCAACTCTAATTGGGATGTGGTTCAACCCTAAGACCTTTCTTATAGAAATTAATGAGTAAGTTAAGAATAATAAATAGTTAACGAAATATTCCGTTAAGAAAGTTTATACTAACGGAATTTAAGGTTATTTAAGGGAAGAAAATAATATAATAAAGGGTAAATAAGGAAATTTATTAAGAAATACTAAAATCAAAATAATATGAGCCATTCATTTTAAGAAACAATTAGGACCGACTTTTTTTATTCCAGTTAAGGGCCTAACATTATTGGCTCTTATTAAAATTGTAGAAAAATTGTAGATTGTAGATAGAAATTGTAGATGGTAGATTACCGCATAATAGGTAGTGGTAAATACGGGGTAATTAGAAAGGCAAACCTGTCTTCTGTGAAGACCTGGAGAAGCCGCCGGAGATGAGAATTCCGGCGTCTGGTGACCGGAAGATGGACATCTATGGAGGGAAAACCGGAAAGAGCTGTCAGCAATTTCTTCAAAATCCTCGGAGCGGAAGCTACTAGAAGCCTCCAAATCCAAATCCAAAGACTTTTCGTCGTCGTTGCTCTCATCAGACCAGCCGGCATTGCTTAGCCGGCGGCGGCGTCTGTGATTATAAGCGCAGGGAAATCCCAGTTCATGTTGCTCTGCAATCTTCTTAATCTCACGCATTTTCTTCTTGTTATTCTGCTCCTTTAATCTCTTCAAAACCGATCCAAAAAATCCTAACCCGCAATTCTTGATCCGGGTATCAAGTTTACCCGGCCCCTGAATCCTCATCGCCGCCTCCAGGAGCAGAGCCGCCGTCCTTGCCGGAACGTGAAGCAAAACTCTCTCGTTCTGGGTCTTGGCCGACGCCGGCGACGGAAAACCCACCTCCGGCGAGCCTCGGAAGGAGAATAAACAACCACGTTTACACAGAATCTGCTTCCAAGTTAAAGTTTCAACAAACGATTTCCTTCTTCCGACATGAACAAGTCTGTCATCTCTCATCAACGTGAGCTGACTTTTCCTGTCAGAAATGTAACTCTTGAGGTGGAAAGGCTGTTGGTCTTCTCTCAGAAGCTCATGCAGATACTGCTTTTGAGCTGCCATGGCAAGAAAATCTGTGAAATCTCAGACTGAACTAATTTCAGGCAATAATTGAATCAAAATGGCCAGAGGGGTTTGAGCTTCTGAGCAGCGCAGCATTGAAGATACAGTGGTCTGCTTTGTTGAAGAGGCTTCAACTTTTTCTTCTTTAACAGAGATTGAGGGTGGGGAACTTGTACAAAAAAGAGCCCAGAGAGAGGGGGTGGGGGGGGGGGGGGGGGGGTAGGGGACGACTTTCTGATTTAAATCTGAGGTTTTATAGAATCGAGGCAAAGGTGGTAAATAAACAAACAAATTTACTTCAATAAGAAACGTGATAAATACGCAGTAATGTTATAAATATACAGAGCACAGTGTAATGGTTTAGTTTTTCAGGGTAAATAATCTAAATTTTAATTCTTTCTCTTTTTCTTTCCAAAAAGATTGAATCTCAATCCTAAGTGCTCCCAGAACATATGAGAAGATATAAATCTTGCTAACTCAATAACACAATAAACACAGCCAAATATTGATTCACACAAGGGATCTACTAGGCCATTTTAATTCTTTTACTCTACTTCGTTTGTTGGCTTGTCCCAAAAAAATTATTTCCTCGTAAATATAGGGATGTGTTTGGTTAATGGGCTTATAATCTAGGAATGAGAATCAAAATTATAGTTATTGTTTGGTTGACAACTTTTTAAAACACAACTATGAGATTTGATTACCCTCCAATTAAGAACTCTATTCCTTAATTAAAAATGGGTATCATTCCATCTTATATTGATAATTTGATTTAAGTTTGAATTAGTGGTTTTAAATTTTTGTTCATATTAGTGCTTTGGATGTCATTATATTAAGATCAATTGCGTTGATTTTTTATTTTTGTATTTTTAAAACTTTTATTCTCATTATAGAGTTATACATAACTAAATATCAATATTGACAATCATTCTAATCCACCATACTACCAAACATGCAAAATACTTTCACCAAAACTAATTATCATTACTAAGTATTTAATCCTCACTCCCATTCTGATTCCCATGTGGGAACCAAACACACTCTAACAATATATTACTTAATCAATGTATTATATATGTTCTCTTAATTGGTATTTACCGTAAAAAGAAATAATGTTTTAATTATAACTCAATAGTTTGGAGTATGACAGTTAAATTAACACCTTTGAACTAAAACAAGATCTAATTATGTTCACTTAGCATTTTTTTTTTTAAACTAGTTTTCCATATATAACCTTCCACAATACTGTCATGAAATTTAAATAAAAATTGGTCATAGAGGTGAAACTTTGGAAGAATGAGCAGGGATCGAGTCTCACCAGCGGTAGTGTGGGAGCAACCTCTTAAAGTGAGGGGGGCTCCTTGTGCGCAGTGAGCACCGATCTAGCCTCTATGGTTCCAATTCAGTTGAGTCACCATGATTAACATCCTCCCAAATGCTCTGTCGGGCCGGGGGTGTGGGGGGCCCTTAGGGTTGGGGTTCAACCTTTTAGAAGAATGAAATTTAAATAAAAATAATTTGTTAACTTAGTTTCATTTCTTAAATATAAACCAATTCAAACTCAGAGAAAATCGCTACGCTCTCCTTCCTAATACTCACCACCCCGTCATAGCAGCTGTTTCTCAATATTTCGATTTGGAAATCGATTGTTTCTTCAATTCCCTTCCGGTGGAATGTTTCTCAAGTTTGAATCATTTGATTTATTAGAAGAAACATCCTAACTACTATTTAAGATTCTTCGCTCTAACATGTAGTACAGATAATACTGCTGCGAGTTAATACCCAATGTACTCTTCGACTATAGTGGTTTTACTCAATTTAGTCCTAAATGACTTTTTGTTCTTAATTTAGTGCTCGATTTTGATGATTTTACACAATTTAGTCCTATTGTTAAAAATTATGTTAGTTGACGGTTGGAAATAGGGTCATAATGGTAACAAAGGACTAAATTGTGTAAAATTATCAAAGTCGAGGACTAAATTAAGCACAAAAAGTCATTTAAGACTAAATTGAGTAAACCACTATGGTCGAGAACTATATTGGATATTAACTCATATTGCTGCGTATAGTAGGACTATCGGTGCTTGTGTGTTTTTCAATGTATATGGTCATAAACAAAAGAATATGACTTTTCACTTCTTTCTGTGGTTCGAATTGATCTGAAGACGTCGAAACAACACTCGTTACTGCAACTTTTGTGATTATCCAAGTCATGACACTCGTTTTTGTCGCAAACTTGCTAAGTTCGTCCGTGACGACAACATTAGCGTCCACGATCCTCTCAGTCAATCTGCTCAGGCTCCAATGGTCAATACCACATCTACTACTACTACGACACAACAATTGTGGATTATGGACTCAGGAGCCTCGCACCATACTGTGACTGACATGTCCCGACTACAGTCGTTTTTTGACTATACGGGTCCGGATGAGATTGTGCTTGGTAATGCTAAGTCCCTAAGCATTTCGCACACTAGTCAATTGTCTTTACCTTTTTCTGTTCGTCCCCTCACTCTATCTAATGTCTTGTGTGTTCCACACGTACAACGTAATTTAATCTCTATTTCCCAACTTTGCAAGTCTAACTCAGTGTCTGTTGAATTTTTTTGACACTCATTTTGTTATCAAGGATTGGCAAACAGGGATTCGTCTAATGCTGGGGGGATAGACCATGATGTTTATCAGTTTCATGCACCGTGTCATCCACAGGTTAATGTCCTATCAAAAGTTTCGGTTTCAGATTGGCATCATAGGCTCGGGCATCCATCCAATAAGTTTCTTGCTTCTATTATGAGTTGTAATAAATTAATTTATGACTCTAGTGCTCTTACTTCTTTTTCATGTACTTCCTGTCATGTGAACAAGAGTCATAAAATGCCGTTCTCAGTAAACAGTATGTCATGTTCCAAACCTCTTGTGTTAGTTTACTCGGATGTGTGGTCTACCTCTACTGTCTCTGTAGATGGTTATAGATACTATGCCATTTTTGTTGATCACTACACACGGTATATTTGACTTTTTCCCCTAAAATATAAATATGACGTCTCTATCATATTTCCTTAGTTCAAGCAAATGGTAGAAAATTACTTTAGATGTCGAATTATCTCTGTCTTCTCAGACAAGGTGGAGAGTACAAAAAATTAGCACAATTTTTTTTAACAAATATGGCATTTCTCACTTCACTTCCTCGCCTCATACTCCCGAGCACAATGGCTTGGCCGAGAGGCGTCACATGCATGTGGTAGAAACAACTATGTCTTTGTTGCATTTCGCATCCATACCTATTATCTATTGGTCTTATGCGGTCCAGGTAGCGGTCTATCTTATAAACCGTATGTCCACTTCCACACTTGCAAATTTGTCTCCGTATTCCAAACTCTTTCACAAAGAACCAAATTTACGAAAGATTCAACCGTTTGGTTGCTTGTGTTTTATTTGGCTCAAACCGTACTTCCCCACAAAGTTACAACCCAAGTCAGTTCCATGTGTGTTTCTAGGTTATTCCTTAAGCCAGTCGGCTTACAAATGTTTAGATTTCTCTACGGGGCGTGTCTATCTCTCTCGGTATGTTCGTTTTGTTTATGATGTTTTTCCTTTTTCCTCAACTGTCTCCACCTCATGTCTGTCTCTACAGTCATCAATTCCGCTAGTGCAATATCCTCTATCCTCGACGTTGTCCCCGTCTGTACCACAAGTTACACAGGTTATGTTGCCTGCTTTACAAAATTTACCTATTCCTGCGAATTCACTCACTCCACAAACTTCACTTGCTGCCTCACAAAATATACCTGCCATCTCACAAAATTCACCTTTTGCCTCACAAAATATACATGATGCTCCACAAAATTCACCTCTCACCTCACAAAATTCACCTGTTGCCTCACAAAACTCACCTACATACTTCACAATTCTGACTTTCCAACAGTCTTAAAAGTTCGACTATCATACTTTTTAATTGCCTACATTAGTTAGAACTTAGAAATTAAAATTTAAAACATTAAACAAGTTATCACAATAAAAAATGCAAATATAGAAAATATATATAATTTGAAGTGTTAATTAAAATACTTACTTCAAATGCTCTTTTTATTTGACTTTTACCTAAACTTTCACTTTGCATACTTGAAGATGTGACTTGAGAAAATCGTGGTTGGGAAGGAGGTGGAGTAATAATATCCTCATAAGCACTAAAAAGCTTGTTCAACTTTGTCTTCAAAAGTGAAATCATTTCTTTTAGTTTAGTTGGATCACTCTGAACCTCCTCATATAAATGCTCTAATGTTACAAGCTTTATCCTTGGATAAAAAATAGCTCCAAATGCAAGCACTAGGCTATATTCACTCCAATATTTATCAAATTTGTCAAACATCTTTTTACACATTCCATTTATCAAGACATCTTCATTATCCAAATTTTCTTTCAACATACTTTCAATCTTCCAAACTTGCATAAAATATAGATTTGGGGTAGGATTGGAAGAACTGTAAATCAAATTTGTCACCTCATAAAATGGCTCAAGAAACTCACATATTTTCTCACATCTTTTCCATTCTTCATTTTAAGGGCAAAATTTATAATGTCTATTATTCAATTGAAGAAAAGCGAATGCCCTTTTTGTACTTAATAGCACTTTCCAACATTAAATATGTGGAGTTCCACCTAGTAACCACATCCAATCTCAAACCAATACTAGTATCAATGTTACCAACTGCACTTATAAATTCTCCAAACTTTTTCATCCTACCCTCAGAACCTTTCACATATTTGACAGACTCTCTGAATGTAATCCGTTGTCGATTCGCGACGATTTTCACTACAGAACGTGTTCTGTCACGATTTTGCATTGGAAATGGTGACAGAATTCAGTTCCGTAGCAATATTTGGCGCAAAGTGAGAAAACCCCGTGAAATTTTGGCGCCCACATTTTTGTGACCGATTTTGCGACGGAATTAAGTTATGTCACCACAACGGTGACGCCAAAGGCAACGGCCGATAGTTCCATCGCGGTTTTGCGACAGAATCGGCGACGATAATAAATTCTGTTGCGATATTTGGCGCAAAGTGGAAAATATTCCCACGTAATCTTTGCACAAAGGAATTGACGATGGAGACTGACGACAGAAATTGCGACCGATATTTTTTCGTCGCGAAAATATTTAAAATTTAAAGTAAAGTTTATTTTTG